ATATTGCATTCCCCCAACACAATAATACTTCTGTTAATAGTAACTCGTAGATAATAAATTTTGTCAAAGTCTATTTAACAGAGGCAAAACTTGTCAAGTAGGGAAAATGGGTATCAGGTCAAATTATATTTATTATGTTTTAATAGGAGGCACAGGGGACAGCCGAAGGATTAGGAAACTCATTGGGAAGTAATTAAAGTATTAAGATAGAAAGCATAAAATATGCACCCAGAAGTCTGAGAGCAGAAAGAAAGAAAGAAAGAAAGAAAGAAAGAAAGAAAGAAAGAAAGAAAGAAGGAAAGAAGGAAAGAAAGAAAGAAAGAAAGAAAGAAAGAAAGAAAGAAAGAAAGAAAGAAAGAAAGAAAGAAAGAAAGAAAGAAAGAGTAGGTCAGGTTGAGTTGGCAGAAAGGACGCAGCCAAAGTCCCCAGGCTGCAGGAGAAACTGTGAGGGATTGTGCCAGGGACTCTAAATAGAAAAAGATCTAGTCTTGATGGTTTATGAAGCCATAGAATAGAAGTCAGTTTCCTTCAGCTCATTTTATAGAGTAGGACAACCAGAAAAAAAAATTCAGAGGCTCCTCTTTCTCCTCCCAAAACTCTCCATTTGCTTTCTGAGTCCTAAGATAACCCTATTTTGTCCATCACTAAAGTATATAAAATCATTCATTCACTCATTCATTCATGCTCTTTACAAGGGTAAGTTGCCCTGCCTTATTTATTGGTAAAATCATGCACCATGCACAATGCCTAGCTGGCACATAATAGGTATCAATAAACATTAGTTGAATAAAAACCGCTTAAGTGAATGGATTTAGAAATGAACACACTATAAATGCCTATTGTTGTAAGACACTGCAACTTTAAAGAAAACATTATGACCTGCCAATTAAATCACAAACATAAATAAGTATTGTGACTGATAGACTGTTTAAAAGTTTGATCTTGGATACAGGACTAAGAAACCTAGAGGGCTTGGAGGGGAAGGAGGCACAGCTCTACAAAAGGGACAGCTGAGAACACAGAAAACAAACAGAACCCTTCAGAAACCTTCACAACTTTGTCAGAGGGAGGTTCTGTTTACCATCAGTTGGGAGGAGACAAACAGCAGCTTTGTGGAAATTTGTTTGTTGTGTTTGGTGCCAAGATGCAGAGTTCAGTTTCCAGAAATTTTTGGTGATTCATTGCATGATTTAAACATTCTTATATAGATTTTTTTCCATCCAGTGATCCTTTTCACCATCTTAGCCATTTTTTCTTCTCAGTAATAGATCATCAAATCTGTTCGAATGCTATGGAATAGAAAATTTACCTTAGTTTTAAACTTTGAAACAAAAAATTTAAGCCAATACCTATGCTTTGAAATATTACACTGCTATATGGAAGTTTGATATTAGAATATAGAATATAGGAAGTTTGATATAGAATATAGAATATAGAATATAGAATATAGAATATAGAATTTAGAATATAGAATGCTAGAAGATGCCATACATTTTCTGCAGAAACTTATAAATTCAAATTATATAGAAAAAAATCCTTGAATATTCTGAAAATGTGTATTATGCATTGCTTTCTAATTGTGTTCATTTCATAAGCTTTGATAAAATAGCCCCTTTTACCAATATGTATCAATATATATTTGGCTAATCAACTGGTACTTAATAATGCAATACTAAACTATTTTATTACTTTTCTATGGTTAATTTATGGTAGCAAAGATATTTTGGTTTTCCAATAAGTAAAAACTTCTAACCCTTTTTATCACTTCCACCCTGGCATCTAAAGAGTGGTCAATGCTAAGAAGAGGAGCAGGGAGGGAGAAAAGAGAAAAAAGACAGGACAAGTGTTAAAAAAACAAATTAGGACAACAGCCTTTATAGTCTAGCACCTGGGTTCTAAAATCTGGTCCACCACTGAGTGACTTGGGCATCAGTTCATTGATCTATACAACGAATGAGCCAGATTGAATTATTGCTAAGATTCCCACTGGCTCTGAAATATTCCACTACTCTCTCTGTAAGACCTCTTTTCCTTTCACTTGAAACACCTTGATATTATATATATATAATATCACTGTTTTATTTGCTGCAAGTGTCACTGGCTATATGCATCGCCTCTAGCTACATCCTGGGAAGATCACAAGCCCCAACATCGCCTCTAGCTGCATCCTGGGAAGATCACAAGCCCCAACAATGCCTTAAAATTGGCATCCTCTGTATCCAAAAGGGATAATGGGCTGCACACTTGGACTCACATACTCATGAGTGCTGCAGTGCAGATTTCAAAAATGAGGCCTGCACATGTCTACTTTGTAGAACAGCCTGGATGACTTCTGACCTGACTTAGTTATTATTTAAAGCAGCTTATTGATGCTGCCAATAACATCATACATAATAGAACACACATCTTGTAACTGAACCACAGAGAGTGCCCAATAACATAAAGAATGCAGGAAATATGTACTTAAAATGTAAACTGCTCAAACAGAATAGCTACTGAAGGAACTGGAAATACATATGCAAACTGCTTTTCTGAGGTTAAATAGCCACATTTTAGGATTCTTCAATGGCTGCTGCCATGGTCTTGCTTTTAAAATTTAGCCTCAATAATTTCTCAAAACATTGTATTTAACAAAAGGCCACACCTATTTTCCCCAATCAAGATTTAGCCTAATATTACTGGATCTGTTTAGAGCATAGAAATAAATAAAACATGCCTCCTAGACGTTAGAAAAAAAAAAGAGAAAAAACAGCCTTTTAGAATTAGTAGGTACCAACCACTCTAATCTGAAGCTTGTACTGTCCTTTTCAATCGCTGCAGAGAAACAATTAATAAAGGAACCCATTAAGACCTGATTATTGCTGCTAAAAAAGGAAGGTAGAATTTCAGTCCTTTGAAGTAACTGAGAATGATTCAGGCCTCATTACAGAGATATAATCTACATTCATACATTTATGTTAGTGATTCAAATCTATTGGGAGAGATTGAATTCCGTTAAATAGTGCATCTTTCCTGGGGAACTTTTCTCAGGCTTTCTCGGGCTAACCTAAGAGGTGACCTAACAATGCAAAGCAGTGGAGTATTTAGGGATTCAACTGCGCTATAAAAGAAAGGCTGTGCAGAAAAGAAAAAGAAGAATGAGATATAATCTAAAAAGCTATGTCAGCTTTTCTTTTAGGCTGTTTTGTAAATGCCCTTCCTGTCATCACGCTGGACAGAAAAGCAGAGAAAGGGCTCTAGAACTTTTAAACACTGCACCTGCTGCAAGCAGGTTTTAATACGGAACTTTTGAAGATGTGTTTTTTCCCCATTTCAAACAGAATAAACAGAAAACTTCTAACTTAAAGACCTGAATAGCTTTTTCCACTGGAGCAGAAAGTTGGTAGGGGTGTGTGTGTGTGTGTGTGTGTGTGTGTGTGAGAGAGAGAGAGAGAGAGAGAGAGAGAGAGAGAGAGAGAGAGAGAGAGAGAGCTTTGGGGTAGGGGTGAATGTCTCTTATGAGTTAAGAAAAAATTAAAGGATCTCAAGCTGGCATTAATAGTGTTGATGCCCAGTGTAGAGAAACCTCAACATAATAACTTCCTGTGTTTTGTAATTTTTTCACGACAGAATTTTTATTGTATGGTTTCATCAAACATAATTTTTAAAAAACCATGTAGTTTTAATTAGTTGTCAATTCAAACATTTGGATTCTGCTGAGCAATTGGGCTGAAACTCTAGTCCCTTAGAATCACTACACTCTCAGGCATTTGTCAGCTCTAGTAGAAAACTGTGAACTTGAAAATTGAAATTAGTACTGTGAGTTCCTTTTTAAATACCCATGCGGTAATGAAAGAACAACATTTGTTTGACGTATGCTCTTTATTTGCTTAGCTCTCCAATTAATAGCTACAGAAATCAGAGCTAATTATATTTAAAAATTTTAAATGTGATGTTCACCACATTGTCGAAATCTTCAGAATAAGTATTGCAATGAGTTATAAGTAATGCAATTAAAATCCCTGATTCTAGCATTAAATGGTCCCATTTCAAAGGCTCTGAATGCAGAGGAAAATATAAGAGCAAGCATGTAAAGTCATTTTTCAGGTCACTAAATAACATAATTGGGCAATCGTTCCTGATGCCCATCACGAAAGCTAGTTTTTAACTTCTTTGTATTTTTGCCTGTTCACAATGAAGACTGAGGCTACATGTACATTGTAGGGATTCTGGCTCGTTGTATATACACACAGCTCTTGTGATTAGTTCCTTCCAAATTACAGTTGTAGAGGTCAAACTTCCAAGTTCACCTTGAAATCATTCTCCTTCTTAGACTAGCAGCCTAAATATTGGGTTGAACCGTATGAAATTGCCACTTTTGAAGGTGAAAACCACAAAATATTGGCAATTTCATGTTTACACATAACACAAGTGTCCCACTACTTTGCAGAACATAAATATTTTATACCAATACATCTTGAGGCACTTCTTCCAGGCAAGCTTTCCCTAAGTTAAATTAATTCTTAAAGAAGTGCTCCGGTGGGAACTCTCTTACTCAGATTGGAACGGATTATCACAGTATTTCTTCTTTGCGCCTCTTAATTCTTGGCAAAAGCCTTTACCCAGCTAGTGACTTGGTTCTGACTATACCTGGGTTTCGTGCAAGTTTCTATGAGCGCTGAGGGCGTTGCAGGGTGGTGAATATGAGAGAGGGAGCTGGGAAGTGCAGTTATATTGTAAAACAGAGCCCTTTAAATGTCAAATTTGAAGATAGAAAAAAGAAAATGCCCCTTTAGGGGAAAGTGCAAAGGAAATTGCATAGAAAAGGAAACAGCAGAATATTAGCCCAATTGTGTGGTTAAATCTTCCCAATCTCAAAAAGTGCGTTCGCTTTGAAGTGCACGCGTGATTCCGTAAACGACTCATGTTAGCAATTAGAAATCCGTCCTTTGGGTCCCCGATTTCATTTGTGCCCAGAGAGGCGACTTTTAAGGGTGACAATAAATCTCCCTGAGCTTAAAAGGCAGCGAGGGCCAAAGTGTGAACTTTTTACTTCAGCAACGGAAGGGAGAAATCAGTGATTCATTAAAGCACAGACCTCCTTGGAAGCTGGCAGAAGAGGAGGAAAGGAAGCTAATTATGTCTCCCTTTTTTTGTGCTTGCTCAGACCAGTTTATAATCTGCTGGTGTGGAGGGTTTATCCTCAGCATCTTCTGCTTTCTGCCCCAGCTCTCCCCTTCTTCTGGGAGCCAGAGAGGGAAGAAAAAAGTCAGCTAAGCACCAGACTCCAGGTGGCTCTCAAGTACTTCACTGCCAAAAGAAAAAAAAAATCCTATGCTGGAAAACCAGTGAGAAAGGGGCTCCCCGGAGGGGATTGGTTCAGGCTGGAAGACAGCAAAATTCAGAAAGCCTGAGGATACAGCCCTCGCCGGTGGCCTGCGCAGCAGCGAGCACAAGGACGCTTTTGCAGCAATTAGCTGGAGCTGGAGGCTCAGCAGGGCGGAGGTTGCGGTGCCGTGGTGCAAGGAAGGGACCAGCAGCCCCCCAGCTCCTCACAGAGTCATCGCGCTCTCTTCTCCTCGCTCCCCTGCTCTCCCCACTCTCGCCCCTTCCCTCCTCCTCCCTCTCCCTGGCGTTCCCAGCAGCCCAGGGTTTCAGATGTCCCACCGCAGTTTGACCCCCTCCCCCCGCTTCTCCACCCCTGCAAATGAGGTTTGACCAGCAGAGGCAGAGCCCACCTCTGGCTTAGAATCACTGACATTTAGACTCCAGGCTTCAACCTGTTTACAAGCGGGCTTTCCAAAGGAAAGGGGGGTTGGGGGGGGGAGGGAAATAGGGCCAAACAAAACACCAACCGCCATCCCCCCAAACAAGAAGTGACTTTCTGCAGGCTTCAAATCAACAGGCACCACCAAAAAGAGAAAGCGAGAGAGAGAGAGAAGAAAACAGCACGACCCGGCAGCTGCCTCCAGTTCTGACAACTCCGAAGGGACGCACTTTTAGAACTGGGGAGCGGGCTGGGGCTGTGCGGAGAGGGACCAGAAGGTGCCAACCACAGACGGGCGCAGCTCTCTCCCCCAGCCTCCCACCCCAACCCCTTTGGGTTTTGTTCACCGTGCTGTCATCTGTTTCTCAGACCTTTTTTTTTTTTTTTCTTTTACATCTAACATGGTGAAGAAAGGGGTGAAGAAGAGAACAAAGTAACTCCTGGGGGAGTGAAGATCGCTGGTGACCGGCACCACCACCTCCACCAAACAGCTCCTGCTACTGCGGCCACCCACGTCCACGGGTCACTGGGAGACTTGAGAGGCGCAGGGTAGCAGATCCGAGCAAGGAGAGGCAGCCGGCCCTTCCGAGGAGTTATGGATGTTGGTGTATTCACTTCTGGCCAGATCCGCACCCAGAGGGAGCTAACCAGCGGCCACCACCTCCAGCTGTCTCCTTGCCTCGCACCAGGTCTTACCCTTCCAGTATGTTCCTTCTGATAAGACAATTTCCAGTGCCGAGAGTTTCAGTACAATGTGGAAATGGATACTGACACATTGTGCCTCAGCCTTTCCCCACCTGCCGGGCTGCTGCTGCTGCTTCTTGTTGCTGTTCTTGGTGTCTTCTGTCCCTGTCACCTGCCAAGCCCTTGGTCAGGACATGGTGTCACCAGAGGCCACCAACTGCTCTTCTTCTTCTTCCTCCTCCTCTTCCTCCTCCTCCTCGTCGTCGTTGTCGTCGTCGTTGTGGTCGTCGTGGTCCTCCTTTTCCTCTCCTTCCAGTGCGGGGAGGCATGTGCGGAGCTACAATCACCTCCAAGGAGATGTCCGCTGGAGAAAGCTATTCTCTTTCACCAAGTACTTTCTCAAGATTGAGAAGAACGGGAAGGTCAGCGGTACCAAGAAGGAGAACTGCCCGTACAGTAAGTAACAAATGCGCGCTCCCCTCCTTCCAATTATCCACCCCCACCCCACAAGGGGGGGGGAAATCTGTTCCAGATGTGGCCAGCTAAATATTTACGTCCCCAACCCCTGTAAAATGATTAAGTGGAATACTTTCACACTAAATCACCCCCCAGCCCCGTGTATACGTTGTGCTGCCGCACCCCCTCCCCGCAGCCCTCTCCTTCCACACCCCCAACTCCTCGCCACCCTATCCGCCCTGTCTCTCTGGCTTGTCACTCTCCTGACTACTCAGGGCGCCCAAGAGTTGCTGCAATGCGTTGATGCCCCTCTCCTGTCTCCATCACCCTTCCCTACCTCATCCCAAGGTCTCCATTCCCTCCGTTGTGGAAACGTCTCAAGTAAACACATTTTGTTTCTTTTCGCCCACAATCTTATTAATAGTTTGGGGACAGTTTCCTCAAGCTGAAAATAATGATCTGTTGTCAATTATTGGGGCTTTATGAGAACTTTATTTAAGAAAGAAACGTCAATTCCACTTGCTTACTACCCCCAACTCTTTACCCTACCACCTCTCTAGATAGGAGTGAAAGTATTTTTCTGGTTTTAATTTTTTTTTTGGAGGGGGTGGTGGGTCCCTCATTTTGGCTTGAGTGATTGCAGTTCATGAAGTTAGCTTTTCCGGCATCACTGCTGCTATTTGTCTTCTGCCTGCTTTTTCTCTTGGTAACATGATGCTCATGTCTGCGTTGTCAATAGCATATGCGCTGCTTTGTGGTGTCCTGTTGTACTGGTTTCTTCTGAAACCTCTCATATTGCAGAGCCATACTACTACAGCATTGTAAACATCTGGGACTGGATTCACACAGACCTCACACAAATTTCATTGTCATTCTTTTATTTTCAAAGTAAAAGTCATAAGTCTGTTTCCATGGCTATAGTTTATAGCCCCATCGGATGGGGTTTTCCTCTCAGTACAAATTATACCCCAGATTTCTGGGTTTCTTTCCTTTTTTCCTTTCTCTCTCTCTTTCTTTCCTTCTTTAGCACTTTTTCTTCTTTCTTTCTTGCAGAGGTGTGGGTTGGGGAGGGGGAGGGAGGACTAGAAGAGGAGGAGTGGATATTGTGCCTCTCAAATCTGTCCAGCAAAGCCAGATTCCTCTTTTGGCTTCCTTTCCTCCTTACTTTCAAGTGGTGAGACTTATTCATCCTCTATTGATTGCTATTTGAAAGGATCCTGAGGCTATGTAATGGCACACTGAAGATAGTAGACAATGATATTTCAATATCTTTAATGACCATTTAGCATTACCTCAATGGTACTTTCAAGTCACCTTTTAAAGGGATCTTTTTGTGTCAGTTTGGGAATTTGAAACATATATTTGCCAACTAACTTAAATCCATGAGTCATACATTTCAAGATTCCTTGGTGCAGAAAAGTATCTGGTGCTAAGAAAGACAGTTAACTGGAACTTAGCATTTTCTTTCTAAGTGAAAATTGACAAGAATTAAGACTTAGTTTTCACATTTGGGGATTCATATACATTCAGCATTACTTCTGTTCCTCCTCAGCTGCTGCTGACATTTACTAAAATTACAATATATTCACAAGTAACAATATTTGTAGAAGGTTGTTGAAGTATATCATTTTATGTTTCATATTAAAGATGTTAAATAACCAATCAATTATATTTTTTCCATTCTGATGCATTGAAAGTGACTGAAATAATGTCATTTATGATAAAGGTTTTTTCAATTGTTACCTGAATTCATTAGGCACTATGTATAGATGTTATGGTGGTTGATTAAAACTTTAATAACTTGGTTCACTTCTAAAACAAAATAGATGTGGTGTCATCCAGGTAGGATGATAGGGAAGAAACTGTCTAAACACTTACTGAAGAGCGAGCTGAGAGTTTAAACAAAAATAATTCCCATGGACTAAAATTCTTCTTTGTATTTTTAGTTCCTGGAGATTACTCAAAGAAACATAATAAAATTTTAGAATGTTAACCTCGAGCAAACTTTCTTCTTTTTTTTTGACACTAATTTGATTTTGCTATTGCTATATTTCAAGTGTCTTAAGGATATGATGCAAGGACTAATCTGCACTAGTTTATTTATGCAACTTAAATTACTATTTTCTAAAATAATAGTCACTGTGTGATAAATGATTTAGTAAAATGATTTCCAGGGTGCACAATGAATTATATTTTTACAGTAAGAATTATCTGCAAAGAGAAAAGTATACAACTTTTATTGCATAAATACAAGTGTGGAAAATTTCCATCCTAACTGTCCAAAATATACCACTATCTCTTCCATATGATAAAGTATACTAAAGTTCTTGTCAAAATTACAATATCTTATATAGTAATGCAATCTTAATCAGTGGTTGAAAATAAAAGGGGGGGCGGGTCTTACTCTGTTAAATAATGTCAAGTCATAAATAATTTAGACTTTCGAAGAACATCTGTATGAAGACATAGCAAGTGAAAAGCAGAGGTTGAAAAAGCCTTAATTTCACATGTGGCAGGGTAATCAGGATGCTGCTACAATTTCCAGCTGGACTGATTCAGCTGAACTACATGGTATCATTAAGATATTGTCTAAATGTTGCATAATTACATGTGTACAAACTTTTGCCATGCCTACAGGGTAACCAGCCAGCCAGCCCACCAAATGGTAGCCTGTTAAATATTAGGGTATCTAACCTCTGAAGAGTGTCAGTTCCTTGTCCAAAAACCACATTTCAGTAACATTTTCCTAAACAAGTTATTAATTATTCTTAATACACAAAGCTGTTCTTTTGAGGTTTGCTTATTTGAAGCTTAATTTTCTTTGTTACTTTTGACCCTAGTATTATTGCTGCTAAAATACAGTAACAGCTTATCTAAGAGGTTACATGTTTGTGATGTCCTGGGTAATTAAACAACGGTTTCACTGAAAAATGCTAACAAAAGGGAAGTAAGGAAATCACTCATAAGTGTTGCGAAATTATTTTTAACTTCTCCTTCCAAAGGTGGTTCCCAGAAATTGGATGGTTCTAAAAATATTACATTTGCTAAAAAAAAACCCTTCTCAGTTTGGGTGATTATTATAATTTCTATTTTTTATTGGTATGGAAGAGGTATTTTTGGTTGTTGTTTTCTCTTTGGCCATTATGGAAGTATAGAATAAAGGGAGCAGAGATGAATTATGTTTCTCCTGTTAGAAGTCTGAGAAAGCTTGAATAATTTAGAATAGCTGTGGTGTATCTGTCACTAGATATGCTCAGGTTCATTTAGGTTTGTTTTATCATTCTTTACATCTAGATCTTTGCCCTTGAAACATTACCACTCGGCTCCAGTTATGGCCTCCTAGAAAGGCTGGTTACAGCTGTTAGGTACCTTGCAACTGGGACTGGTAGACTTATTTCTGAACGTAAGTAAAACAGCTGTGGGCTTCTCCCATGGTTGTCCCTTGCAGAATAGGGGAGTCTAGTGAAAAGAAAATGTATCCCTAAACTTGAGACAGCCAAGGATGGATATTCTCAAAATGGAAAAACCATCATGCTTATGAGTCTTTCTTGAAAAAGAGTATGGGAGACAAGAGAGAAATCGGCACGTACTGAATACGTTACGTGCCCCATTTCTTTAACTATATATCTCATTTAACACTCATAGCCCTATGATTTAGATATAATTATCACATTTTTCAAATATGAAAACTAAGCCCGAAAAAAGTAAATTACCCCAGGTCATCAACTAGAAATTGGCAGAGCTGGGATTCAAGCTTAAGTCTATGGGTTTATATCATGCCTTATTTTTTCTACCTCTTTGCTCCTGGCAACACTGATACCAACATATTAGAATCAGGCACCTCAAAACTCTAAAACACAAATTATTCGAAAACATAATTGCTTTCAGCTATGAATGCCAACAGCTCTTCAGAATGAAAGTGGAAAAAGTAGCACAATGACAGTGGAACAGAAACAGAAATAGTGCAGGTGGCTTCATGGTATCAGACTCTGTTAGTGCATTCTCTAGGTGCAAGATCTCTTTTGATACTATGAGCGGGAATATAATTACTTATGGATACACAACATACACATACATTGATCGCACTCATTTTAAAAGAGGGCATTAGAAATACATGACTATTTAAGAAAAATCCATGAATGTCTTGGACATAGTAATTGTTTACAGCTGAGGGCCAAATGTTTAATTATTCCCATGTGTGATAAAATAATTCAATTATAAGCCAATGTGAAATTGGGATATTGCAGATACTTCTGATATATGACTCTAAAAGGGGTAAAAACTTAGAGACCTAAAGATAGATGATAGATAGATAGATAGATAGATAGATAGATAGATAGATAGATAGATAGACAGATAGAAAAAGCTTTAACATGAGTCTGCAAATCAAAAAGGCATGTCACCACATAAAAATGAAAAGTTACTGGCTAGGATTAAAGGTTTGCATTATTTTTAACCAGGACTACAACTTATTGTAGGAAGTTACATTATGTGAGAAAGTAATTGTTGACAAAAATAGGGACTCAAATATTATCTCCTAAAAATAATACAACAGTCTCCTAGGAAGAGAATCAATATACAATTATGGCTTTCACTGGTGTCTTATATAAGTTGTGGCTGTTTCTAGAGTTTGCATAATTTATAACCGGCAGCATTTAATCATGAGCATTGAGGATTTATGAAGGCGGAAGGCACTGTATTTAATGTTTACGTGACACAGGGCCTGTTACCTTTACTGCATTCCTACCATATGGACCCTCCACTTTGATGGCTTTATCATAAATCCATTAAAAATGCACAATTACAGAGAGTTTCCTCTTCATAAACCTGATTTATAACCATCTACTAGAAGAAACCCAAGAAAACTGTTGGCAGAAATCACATGCCAATAATGGAGTATGAGAATTCAGAAACACTAATCCCCAGGTCTTGGGTATTTCAGTAATCTGTTACCTAAAGGCATGGACCACTCTTTCAAGACATTTTTCAAAATGATATTC